CTTTATTGAAAAATACGAATAAAAATCAAAGAACAGTGGCATGTAGCCTTCAAGTATTTAAAATAAACAAGCATTTTAATACTCTGAGACATAAAGATATGGACATATAATAGATATAACAATAAAATGAAACAACTTTTGACACTGCAAAACAGAACAGTGGCATGTCGCCTTCAAGTATTTAAAGTAAACAATACTTTGCTAAAATATAAGCAGTAAACTTTTTATTGCCCAGCATTTAAACTGTGGTTTGGAAAGTGCGAAGGCACCGTTTACAAATGGGCTTTTGTGGGTCTAAAATCCACCTCTCAATTTTGGTTCCTTCGATATCACCAAAAAACGGGTACCGTCATCAGCCTGGACTACCAGTGGTGAATACAACATCATAATGAATGACAGAGTTACTGACCTTGTTGACTTTGCTTGCGGCTGTTGTTCACTTCCATTCTCTGTTTTAATGCTACAGCTGTCTCTGCTGTTCCTCCTTCAGAGGAGACGATCTACTTCCTGTTTACACCAGCTCGCACATGCTCAGTGTAGGTGATGGGCATGTGATGTGTGTTTTCAGGTGTGTTAGTGTGGATGGAGATCGTTTTAGTTTTAAAATGAAAACGCATCAGTGTGAGTGGAGCCTGAACGTTAGTCACAGTGGTGGAGCAGTTAAGAACAAGACGTTCTGTAGTTCAGTTTGGAGACCTGCTGGTACCTAAAGCTGGATTATTGATTATTATGTTTTAATTTGTGTTGTTGATCTGTTAGTGATGTGGGTTAAAGATGGTGTCGCTGCTCAGTCTGTTCATAAGACAGTCTGATGGTCCAGGTCCTCGGAGGATGACTGTATGACTTTGACCTCGTGTAACGCCACCATCAGGTCAAAGGTCATCCCTGATCAAGACTGTCATGATGAATCTGTAACCTGCATCCTGTAGCTTGACTCAGCTTGACGCATGAGTCATTGACCTCATATCATGACAGTGCTCATGTGAACCTGGTCCATTCAGGACTGAGCTGAAGGATCCTGGTTCAGCAACAGACTGTACAGGTGGCTCACCTGGAAACAGTCGGACAGCATCAGTGAACAGCTGTTTATTGTGACGTGAAAAGATTCAGCTGTGTGTTTTATATGTGCACAGTATTTAATTCAAATGGAACAGGAAACATTGACCAGACACCCAGAGATCAATAAAGTTTATAAGATGAAATATTAGTTGAATCCATCAGAGAATAGAATACATCACAGTGATCTATACGTTCTTAAGATCTGGGACACACAGAGCCAGAGGACAGGTGATGGTATCAGCTGCTCTGGGCTCTGCTGGTTCTGCCCTTCACCGGGGGGGGGGGGGGGGGGANGAGATTTGAGATTCCGCTGATGGAGATTAGAAGAGAAGTTTAATCTGATTTACGTGTTTTTTTCTTCTGGAGCAAATGAAAAGTCTGTCCATTTAGAGCTGGAACAGTGACAGGAGGACGTCTGGAACAACACACACACACACACGCACACACACACACACGCACACACACACACACACACACACACAAAAACACACACACACACAAAAGCACACGCACACACACACAAAAACACACACACACAAACACACACACACACAAACACACACGCACACACACACACACACACACAAAAACACACACACACACACAATGACGCTATAAAGGTTGAGAGTATAAACACGTCTGTGACACACACACAAACACTCACACACTCTGTTCCAGTGTCTGTGTCTCTGTCTCAGTGTCTGTGTCTCAGTTTCTGTGTCTCTGTGTCTCTGTCTCAGTTTCTGTGTCTCAGTTTCTGTGTCTCTGTCTCAGTGTCTCAGTTTCTGTGTCTATTTGTCTCTGTGTCTGTGTCTCAGTGTCTGTGTCTCAGTTTCTGTGTCTCTGTGTCTCTGTCTCAGTTTCTGTGTCTCAGTTTCTGTGTCTCTGTCTCAGTGTCTCAGTTTCTGTGTCTATTTGTCTCTGTGTCTCTGTCTCAGTTTCTGTGTCTCAGTTTCTGTGTCTCTGTCTCAGTGTCTTAGTTTCTCTGTCTCAGTGTCTCAGTTTCTGTGTCTCAGTGTCTCTGTGTCTCTGTCTCAGTGTCTTAGTTTCTCTGTCTCAGTGTCTCAGTTTCTGTGTCTCAGTGTCTCTGTGTCTCTGTCTCAGTGTCGCAGTGGGTTCATGTGATCCTGGACTGACTCCATGATGTTGAGGTCAGGACTCTGTGGGGACCACACCATCTGTTGCAGGACTCCTGGTTCTCCTGGTTTTATTTCTGGGTTGTTGTCCAGCTGAGGAAGGAATCTGGGATGTTTCAGTGTTATTTATAATTCATGAGCTGACAGTGGAGACATCGAAGACAGTAGAGACAGTAGAAGACAGTAGAGACAGTGGAGACGTAGAAGTCAGTGAAAGACAGTAGAGACAGTGGAGACATCGAAGACAATAGACACATAGAAGACAGTAGAGATGTCGAAGACAGTAGAGACAGCAGAGACGTAGA